ATAATTTAATCCTACCCCTCTCCCGAACACCCTAGCATTTACTTCTTTTACAACCCCATCTATAAATATATTAAACAACCATGGTGACATTACACATCCCTGTCTAAGACCTACTTTTACCGGGAAGTATTCTCCCTCTCTTCTAAACACCCTAACCTGAGCCTCACTATCCTCATAAAAGCTCTTTACAGCATTTAGTAACTTACCACCTATTCCATAAACTTGCAACATCTGCCACATTGCTCCTCTATCCACTCTATCATATGCCTTTTCTAAATCCATAAATGCAATAAAAACTTCCCTACCTTTATCTAAATACTGTTCACATATATGCTTCAATGTAAACACTTGATCTACACATCCCCTACCCACTCTGAAGCCTCCTTGCTCATCCGCAATTCTACATTCTGTCTTACCTCTAATTCTTTCAATTATAACCCTACCGTATACTTTTCCTGGTATACTCAGTAAACTTATTCCTCTATAATTTTTACAATCTCTTTTGTCCCCTTTCCCTTTATATAAAGGGACTATACATGCTCTCTGCCAATCCCTAGGTACCTTCCCCTCTTTCATACATTTATTAAACAAAAGTACCAACCACTCCAACACTATATCCCCCCCTGCTTTTAACATTTCTGTCATGATCCCATCAGTTCCAGCTGCTTTACCCCCTTTCATTCTACGTAATGCCTCACTTACCTCCACCACACTTACATTCTGCTCTTCTTCACTCCTAAAAGATGGTATACCTCCCTGGCCAGTGCATGAAATTACCACCTCCCTTTCTTCCTCAACATTTAAAAGTTCCTCAAAATATTCTCGCCATCTACCTAATACCTCCCTCTCCCCATCTACTAACTCCCCTACTCTGTTTTTAACGGACAAATCCATACTTTCCCTAGGCTTTCTTAACTTGTTTAACTCACTCCAAAATTTTTTCTTATTTTCATTAAAATTTCTTGACAGTGCCTCTCCCACTCTTTCATCTGCTCTCCTTTTGCACTCTCTCACCACTCTCTTCACCTTTCTTTTACTCTCCATATACTCTGCTCTTCTTATAACACTTCTGCTTTGTAAAAACCTCTCGTAAGCTACCTTTTTCTCTTTTATCACACCCTTTACTTCATCATTCCACCAATCACTCCTCTTTCCTCCTGCCCCCACCCTCCTATAACCACAAACTTCTGCCCCACATTCTAGTACTGCATTTTTAAAACTATTCCAACCCTCTTCAACCCCCCCACTACTCATCTTTGCACTAGCCCACCTTTCTGCCAATAGTCGCTTATATCTCGCCCGAACTTCCTCCTCCCTTAGTTTATACACTTTCACCTCCCTCTTACTTGTTGTTGCCACCTTCCTCTTTTCCCATCTACCTCTTACTCTAACTGTAGCTACAACTAAATAATGATCTGATATATCAGTTGCCCCTCTATAAACATGTACATCCTGGAGCCTACCCATCAACCTTTTATCCACCAATACATAATCTAACAAACTACTTTCATTACGTGCTACATCATACCTTGTATATTTATTTATCCTCTTTTTCATAAAATATGTATTACTTATTACCAAATTTCTTTCTACACATAGCTCAATTAAAGGCTCCCCATTTACATTTACCCCTGGCACCCCAAATTTACCTACTACTCCCTCCATAACATTTTTACCCACTTTAGCATTGAAATCCCCAACCACCATTACTCTCACACTTGATTCAAAACTCCCCACGCATTCACTCAACATTTCCCAGAATCTCTCTCTCTCCTCTACACTTCTCTCTTCTCCAGGTGCATACACGCTTACTATAACCCACTTTTCACATCCAATCTTTATTTTACTCCACATAATCCTTGAATTTATGCATTTGTAGTCCCTCTTTTCCTGCCATAGCTTATTATTATTATTATTATTATTATTATTATTATTATTATTATTATTATTATATCATTTGCTGTGTAGAGCATTATCAAGTCATGACTGATTAAGCTGTTATGTCCTATGAAGAGTGAACAGTTGTCCCAATAAAATCTTGTTCTGCTATGAGTGCCTTTACTTCAATGAATATGTGTTTGCTCCTGAGTGTAGCTACTATCACAGGTAATAATACAAACTAGGGATGGGGGGGGGGGTAAAAGGTTTTGTGTGCAAGGGGCCTGGACATGCAGCAGGCATGTGTGTGTTAGATAAAAGTGAATGGAGATGAATGGTTTTTGGGATCTGACGAGCTGTTGGAGTGCGAGCAAGGTAATACAGTGGACTCCCGCATAACGATATTAATCCATTCCTGAGAGCTCATTGTTATGCGAAATTATCGTTATGCGAATGAATTTTCCCCATAAGAAATAATGCAAATCAAATTAATCCGTGCAAGATGCCCAAAAGTATGAAAAAAAAATTTTTTACCACATGAAATATACATTTTCCTACACACAAAGAGAAGGATACATGCACATAGTAATGTACTGCAAATTGTATTACTATCTACTAAATGAAGAATAAATGACACTTACCTTTATTGAAGATGCAGCAATGACTGATGAGACACTGTCCTGGGAGTGCCTTTTTCCTCCTGAGTACTGTAGGTCCTGTTTGGCATTTTGTTCCAGAACATGCCTTATCACAGTGTATGCCACTACGATTCTTAAATCTCTCAAACCAACCTTTGCTGGCTTTAAATTCACCAATATGAGCACTAGTTCCAGGCATTTTTCCTGTTCACCTGGGTGTTAGTCGACTGGTGTGGGTTGCATCCTGGGAGACAAGATTAAGGACCCCAATGGAAATAAGTTAGACAGTCTTCGGTGACACTGACATTTACTCTTCGGGCTGTTTCTGGGTTGGGTGGCTAACCCTCTGGGGTTAATTGTTTCTTGGTATTCTCAATAAGCCACACCAACAACGGTGCTACAGCAGCAGCTGACAGTGCTACAGCAGCAGCTGACAGTGCTACAGCAGCAGCAGACGGTGCTACAGCAGCAGCAGACGTACTACAGCAGCAGCAGCAGCTGACTGTGGTACAGCAGCAGCAGCAGCTGACGGTGCTACAGCAGCAGCAGCAGCAGCAGCTGACAGTGCTACAGCAGCAGCTGGCAGTGCAGCAGCAGCAGCAGCTGACAGTGCTACAGCAGCAGCTGACAGTGCTACAGCAGCAGCAGACTGCGGTGCTACAGAGCCAGCAGCTGACGGACAGAGCTACTGGCAGTGCAGCAGCAGCGACTGAGTGTACAGCAGCAGCAGCAGCAGCTGACGGTGCTGACAGCACAGCAGCAGCTGACAGTGCTACAGCAGCAGCTGCAGTGCACAGCAGCAGCACGATGCTGACCAGTGGCTACAGCAGCAGCAGCAGCTGACGGTGCTACAAGCAGCAAGCTGCATGTCAGCAGCAGCTGGACAGTGCTACAGCAGCAGCAGCATCAGCAGTTGACCATGGTACCACAGTATTTCGATAATATTTCTCACCCTCTTTTACCACAGGGTTGGCACTAGAAGCTTTCTTGGGGCCCATGGTCACTTATTTTGCAGATAAAATCACCAAAAACGCTGTAATAATACAAAATGTTCCGATGCCACCGGCGGAACATGTGAGGCTGGCTCAGGCCTCACATAGACGCGTCTCGGACGAATAGTGTTGAGCGAGTTTTTTAGCGCTATGCGAGGCAAAATTTTAGTGATAAAATGTATCGCTATGCGGATTTAACGTTATGTGATGCCAACGGTATGCGGGGGTCCACTGTACAGTGGACCCCCGCTTTACGATCACCTCCCAATGCGGCCAATTATATAAGTGTATTTGTGTAAGTACGTTTGTACGTGTATGTTTGGGGGTCTGAAATGGACTAATCTAATTCACAATATTCCTTATGGGAACAAATTCGTTCAGTACTGGCACCTGAGCATACTTCTGGAATGAAATAATATCGTAAACCGGGGGTCCACTGTATAAAGTGAAGGGATTCAGGGAAACCGGTTAGCCAGACTTGAGTCCTGCAGGTGGTAGGTACAGTGCCTGCACTTTAAAGGAGGGGTTTGAGATATTGCCTATTTTGGAGTGACATCTAAACTGTCATATCTGGGCACCTCTGCAAAGGCAGTGATTATATGTGAATGATGGTGAAAGTGTTGAATGATGAAAGTGTTTCTTCCTTGGGGTCACCCTGCTTCGGTGGGAGACGGCCGTTGTGTTGGAAAAAAAAAATGTACGTGATTATGGCATGTAGTGAGTGATAAAGTAATGATGATGATGATTCTTTATGGCAGCTACAATATTATGTTTTAATGTTTTTTTAGTAAATGATGTAGTCATGTTTGTAAAACTACTATTAAATTTTTTTTTTATCTATACTTTTATCCATGAAACACAGAGCAGTGATGATGAAGATGAAAAGGAACAATGGGTAGAAAAATCTGCAGCCAGTGGTACCAAAACTTCTGAGACAGTTAGGACAAGAGAGCTGACTGCCTCACAAGATGGAACACAGGAGCAAAATTCTTCACAAATACAAACAAAACGTGATAGCTGGATGGAGGTAGAGTATTTTTTTATGATGTTTATCATAAAGGTATTGCTTGAAGAAATTGTAGTGACAGATGAAAGTTGAAAATGTTATTAACTTGTCATTGCATAAATCACCACAAAGAACCACGTAGACAATTTATTCGGAAGTACTGTACACAGAGCCGTGAAATTGCTTGTTAATGTTGTTTTTATACAAGTAATCAGCATTACAATAAGATCTGCATCCATGCTCATTCTCTTGTATGGAGATTTTGAAAATTTGAATGCATATCAAAATTGAAAAAAATATTTGTACTGTAAACTTATTAATGTACACATAAGCAAATCCTATTGTAGAGCATGAATAGTGGTGCTGTAAGTACCATTTGGTGTAATATTCACATCTCTTGTGGCTGGAGTCATGTTTTACTGTATGGCCTTTAACTCAAAACTTATTTGTTTCAGCATTCATAACTGTAGCATCATTTTAATGAAATACTATTATTAGAAACTGTAACCAAAGCTCATAGCAGAATTAATATGAAGTAGATATTAAATGAAATGTTGTCACAGATCATTTGGTAATATTGTGCACTATTTTTATTTTTTTTATTAACATATCGGCTGTCTCTAACCAAAGCAGGGTGGCCCGAAAAAGAAAAACTTTCATCATCATTCACTCCATCACTGTCTTGCCACAGGCGTGCTTACACTACAGTTATAAAACTTCTACATTAACATCCATCATGCAGAGTGAAGGCACTGTACTTCCCATCTTCAGGATTTAAGTCCAGCCTGCCAGTTTCTCTGAATCTCTTCACAAACGTTACCTCCCTCACACTCCAACAGCATATCAAGTCCTAAAAACCATTTGTCTCCATTCGCTCCTATCTAACTCGCTCATGCATACTTGCTGGAAGTCCAAGCCTCTCGCACACAAAGCCTCCTTTACCCCCTCCCTCCAACCATTCCTAGGCCAGCCCCTACCCTGCCTTGACTCCACTACAGATTTATACACTCTCGAAGTCATTCTGTTTTATTCCATCCTCTCTACATGTCCGAACCACCTCAACAACCCCTCCTCAGCCCCCTGGATAATAGTTTTGGTAATCCCGCACCTCCTCTTAATTTCCAGACTACAAATTCTCTGCATTATATTCACACCACACATTGCCCTCAGACATGACATCTCCACTGCCTCCAGCCTTCTCCTTGTTGCAAAATTCACCACCCAAGCTTCACACCCACATAAGAGCATTGGTATAACTTTGCTGTCATACATTCCCCTCTTGCTTCCAGGGACAAAGTTCTTTGTCTCCACAGACTCCCAAGTGGTCCACTCACCTTTTTCCCCTCATCAATTCTATGATTCACCTCACCTTTTATAGACCCATCTGCTGACACGTCTACTCCTAAATATCTGAATACATTCACCTCCTCCATACTCTCTCCCTCCAATCTGATATCTAATCTTTCATTACCCATTTTTTTTTTTGTTATCCTCATCACCTTACTCTTTCCTATATTCACTTTAATTTTCTTTTTTTACCCTACCAAACTCATCCACCAACCTCTGCAACTTCTCTTCAGAATCTCTCAAAAGCAGTGTCATCAGCAAAGAGCAAATGTGACAACTCCCACTTTGTGTTAGATTGTTTATCTTTTAACCCCACACCTCTTGCCAATACCTGAGCATTCACTTCTCTTACAACCCCATCTATAAATATATTGAACAACCATGATGACATCACACATCCTTCTCTAAGACCTAATTTTACTGGGAAATAATCTCCCTTTCTCCTACACACTCTAACCTGAGCCTCACTATCCTCATAAAAACTCTTCACTGCTTTCAATAACCTACCTCCTATTCCATACATTTGCAACATCTGCCACATTGCCTCCCTATCCACCCTGTCATACACCTTTTCCAAATCCATAAATACCACAAAAACTTGCTTGCCCTTATATAAATACTGTTCACCTATATGTTTCACTGTAAATGCTTGGTTTACACACCCCCTACCTTTCTTTCCTTAAACCTCCTTGTTTATCTGCTATCCTACTCTGTCTTACTCTTAATTTTTTTCAATAATTACTATACACTTTACAGGTATACTCAACAGACTTCTTTCTTCTTCTTTCAACACACTGGCTGTATCCCATCGAGGCAGGGTGGCCCAAAAGGAAAAACGAAAGTTTCTCCTTTTACATTCAGTGATATATACAGGAGAAGAGGTTACTAGCCCCTTGCTCCCAGTATTTTAGTCGCCTCTTACAACACACATGGCTTATGGAGGAAGAATTCTGTTCCACTTCTCTATGGAGGTAAGAGGAAATAAACAAGAACAAGAACAAGAAAGAAAATAGAAGAAAACCCAGAGGGGTGTGTGTATATACTATATGTTGTACATGTATGTGTAGTGTGACCTAAGTGTAAGTAGAAATAGCAAGATGTACTTGAAATCTTGCATGTGTATGAGACAGAATAAAAAGACACCAGCAATCCTACCATCATGTAAAACAATTACAGGCTCCCGTTTTTCATTCACTTGGCAGGACGGTAGTACCTCCCTGGGCCATTGCTGTCTACCACCCTACTACCAACAGACTTCTTTCCCTATAATTTTTGCGCCCTCTTTTGTCCCCTTTGCCTTTATACAAGGAACTAGGCATGCTCTCTGCCAATCCGTAGGTACCTTACCCTCTTCCATGCATTTATTAAATAAAAGCACCAACCACTCCAAAACTATGTCCCCACCTGCTTTTAACCTTTCAATCTTGAGCCCATCAATCCCAGCTGCCTTACCCTCTTTCATTCTCCCCAGTGTGGAATTTAGTGGAACAGTCTACCTAGTTGGGTTATTGAGGCTAGGACTTTGGGTAGTTTCAAATTTAGGTTGGATAAGTACATGAGTGGGAGGGGTTGGATTTGAGTGGGACTTGCGCATCAGAGCTTATTTCTTGGGAACCATTGAAAATTGGGTTGGTCAAATGTTTGTTAGTGGGATGAATTGTAAAGGACCTGCCTAGTATGGGCCAACAGGCCTGCTGCAGTGTTCCTCCATTCTTATGTTCTTATGTTCACTGCCTCATGAACTTTCCCCACACTCGCAACTGGCTTGTCCTTACTCCTACAAGATGTTATTCCTCCTTGCCCTATACATACATGAAATCACAGCTTCCCTATCTTCATCAACATTTAACAATTCCTTAAAATATCTTAAAATATTCCCTCCATCTTCCCAATACTGCTAACTCTCCATTTAATAACTCTCCTTTCCTATTTTAAGCTATCAAATCCATTCATTCCCTTGGCTTCCTTAACTTATTAATCTCACTCTAAAACTTTTTCTTATTTTCAACAAAATTTGTTGATAACATCTCACCCACTCTCTCATTTGCTCCCTTTTTACATTGCTTCACCACTCTCTTAGCCTCTCTCTTTCTCTCCATATACTCCTCCCTACTTGCATTACTTCTCATATGCTAACTTTTTCTCCCTTACTACTCTCTTTACATCATCATTCCACCAATCGCTCGTCTTCCCTCCCACACTCACTTTCCTGTAACCAAATTCTTAAACCTACCCCATACATCTTTGACCCCATTGCCTATTCTCTCACTGGCCCATCTATCCTCCAATATTTATTTATATCTTACCCTAACTGCCTTCTCCTTTAGTTTATAAACCTTCACCTCTCTCATACTTGCTGCTTCTATTTTCCTTGTATCCCATCTACCTTTTACTCCCACTGTAGCTACAACTAAAAAGTGAACTGATACATATATGTGGCCCCCTCTATAAGCATGTACATCCTGAAGTCTACCCAGCAATGTTTTATCTACCAATATGTAGCCCAACAAACTACTGTCATTGTACCCTACATCATATCTTGTATACTTATCCTTATTTTCTTAAAATGTGTTACCTATAACCAAACCCCTTTCCATACACAGTTCAAAGGGCCCCCATTATCATTTACACCTGGCACCCCAAACTTACCTACCACACCCTCTCTAAATGTTTCTCCTACTTTAGCATTTAGGTCCCCTACCACAATTACTCTCTCAGTTTGGTTCAAAAGTTCCTACACATTTGCCTAACATTTCCCAAAATCTCTCTCCTCTATACTCCTCTCTTCTCCAGGTGTATACACACTTATTATGACCCACTTTTTGCATCCAACCCTAATGTTAATCCACATGTGCACTAGCAATCGTTAAATTTGTGTTTGATCCTATATCCAGCTAGGATTTAAGTTTTTTTTTTTCATTGTACAGAGCTTCCTTGAAGTTAAACTCCCTTGTCTAAGGATTGTTATCTTGCAATGTTTGGGTTCATTAACATAAGTGTTACTTAAAGGACTTTACCTTTCTATGCAAGTTAACTTTCTATGCAACTTAAGAAGACTTATTTGTTATGTTCACAAGAAAGGTTTCATTTACTTGGTCTATATTTAACTATAAATTCACTCTGTAATGACAGTGAAGCTGTTTATTTTTTCTGCTATCAAACTTGCAGATAAATCTTTAGAAATTGCTTAAGAGGAAATATCTTCAAAGTGTGAGATCAGTAAGTAATAATGGTAGAATTTCCGATAAAATCTTAGGTAAATGGACACAGATGCAACTAATATGAAATTTTATTGTGGCAACGTTTTGCTACTGGAGAGCAAAACGTTGCCAAAATAAAATGTCACATTAGTTGCATTTGTGTCCATTTACCTAAAAGAAGATATGCTCATTGACACATCTGTGTTCTGCAAATTCGAAGTTTTGTTGACCTGACAACAGAGCCTGAGTAAAGACTTTAATTATGAGAAAGCTATGCTAAAAATATTTACTAAATAGAGGACATTGTATGCTAGACATATAGCATACATGCATAAAAAGATTCTATGTAGAATAACTTTGAATTTCTATATTCACAGATGACATCCCTGTTTGGAACTTACTCACGAGATGAAATGAGGGAACGTGAAGGTACAAGCAGAATAAAGGCTAAGGAAGAAGAAGAAAAACGAAAGTGGGAAGCTGATAAGGTAGGGAAATAAAAGTAGAAAAAATATAATGAGGTACATTATTGTCCTTATTTTTGTGAATTATTTACTGAGAAAACTGTAAAGCTTTTAATTACTGTAGGGAATTTGAGCACTGCTATTGTAAATATGGCCAATAAGTGATACAGGTCGGCCATCAATAATCCGGCAATCAGTTATGCGGCTCCATCAGTAATCCGGCACTAATTTTGGCTAGCATAATTTCAAATTTCATCATTATACTGACTCATATTTCATCATTATACTGACTCAGAAATTGTGCAGATGGTTGCAAATCCACAGCAGCAAGCCAGTGGAGGAGAAAACAGTGATGAAAATGAGGAAGATGTAGCAGAAAGAGTCTCTATTGATAGGTTAATTGAATTAACAAGTGAACTGCTGAAAGGTCTAGAGCAATGCAGTTTTATAACTGAACAAGAAATAATGAACGTTCACATGCTGCAAGATAAACTAATCAAAGAAAGGCCTAACCACTCTGTAATCCCGGCAAACTCGGTAATCCGGCACACTACAGGTCCCAATGATGCAGGATTAGTGATGGCCGACCTGTATAATTAAGCAAGACTACTGTATATTTTATAAGACTGTGAAGTAATAATAATAATAATATAAGTGCAAGTAATGATATAATTGTTAAGAATGTAAATGAAGAGACAGTATGCATAGCATTTTAGATTGGAAAATGTTTCATGATGAAGCTGAGGTACAATTCAGCAACTTTATCTTCAGTGATTGATTTCCTTCTGTAGCCAGGATCTCATGCTCGAGAACTCAATCCTTACTTCAAGGACGGAGGAACTGGTCTGCCAGAACAGCGAAACAAAGATGAAGTATCACCAGCTCCATCATCTCTGGGGCTGGATGCTGCATGGCTACGGAAAGCATTGAAGAGGGCTGAAGAACAAGCTCAGTTAGAAAAGAAATCACTCGAAGAGATAGCAGCTCAGCGATGGGGGGTATGGTTATACAGTATTGTTGTTGTGTTATAGTATTTTTCAGAATGTAGCAGTTTTATTTTCTCTATATGTTCTTAAAAAGATTTTAAGAGTTTTTTTTAATACAGTCTAAAAAATTTAGAGCATTTACCTAGCCACTGCTAAAGGCTTTACCCAAGGTCACAGTAATGTAATGCATATTAAGAACTTTTTTATTTTTAACACATTGGCTATCTCCGAAGTAGGGTGACCTAAAAAATAAACACTTTCACCATCATTCACACTATCAATGTCTTGCCAAAGGTGCACAGATATGACAGTTCAAATGACCCTCCAAACAGCAAATATCCCCATTCTTCCTTGAGAGTCAGGCACTGTGCTTCCCACATCATTAAAAAAAAAGCATTCAACTAACCGGCCGTATCTCACTGAGGCAGAGTGGTATAAAATCACTCTCAGATTTTTTTTACCAATCTAGTGTAATGGCTGACTCGAACTTTCAAGATTAAATCACACCAGTCTATCACAAGTTAAAAAGGTGGGCTAAAGAGCAGGAGCTAGCTTAACTTCTGCAAATTATTTATCTAAATCAGGCAGGCTGTGTTGGCTATGTGATCATAGATTTTAGATGTATGTATGGGAAAATGCTGAAATTGCGGTATATAACGTACATTAGCTCAAAAATTTAAATATGCAGCAGTAGTGTGGTGTCTGTACCTAAAAAATATACACATAAGATAAAAAAAAATAAAAAACAAGACATGAAAAGGCTAACTTTTTAGGAGGAAGAAAGAGACATGAAAAGGCTAGCTTTTTAGGAGGACGAAAGGAAACATAATTTCACGTAAGTTCATCACGAAAGAATGTGAGAAAATAGACACGTAAGGTTTTAGCATCAGCTGAAAGAGGAGAAGCCACAAATGTGAACTGAGAAACATTTTTCTTCACAACTGTTAGTAGAATACTGGAATGGCATCCAAGAGGAGGTAAGGTATCTGCTGCAATTACTGGGCACTATAGACATAACTTTGCTCCTGTAGCTACACTTTCACCATCATTCACACTATCATTGTCTTGCTAGATGCATGCAAATACAATAGTAGATGGCCATCCAAACAGCAAATAGCCTCACCCTCCTTTAGAGTGTAGGCACTGTACTTCCCACCTCTAGGCTAACTGGTTTCCTTGATCATAGCAAATAAATAAATTCCTTAGGAAAAAAGAGAGGTAAAGCCAGAACATGGAGCTTAACACTTTCAGGCATGGCTCAAATACACATGTTTTGTATCTTGTTTTTCAGTCCTGGCAAAGTTTAATGAACTGTTAGCAGAAGCAGAAGGAAGAGGAAAGAAGAACCAGACAGATAGCTGGCAGACAAAGATAAGTACTAACACAGCAAGAAGTAGAAGCAGAGAGAGATACAAAAGTAAAAACAGAATAAGAAGTACAAGTAGTGAGCGAAAGAATTATGGTAGCAGAGAGAGAAGCAGAAATAAAGAGAGAATATCATATGAAAATAGCAGTAAGGAGCACAGTAGAAGCAGAGAGAGAAAAAGGAGCAGGCGCAAGGAAAGAAGACACCAAAGATGCGGTAGATATGGTAGTAGCAGCAGCAGTGAGAGAAGTGGTAGCAGCAGTCATAGTGATCACAGTGAAGAGAGGGATAAACAACAGAAACAATCAAGTACTGAGGGAGATAGGTATGTTATTTACAAATATTAAGGTTATTGTATGTTGCACAGGAATCAGGGATAAGAAGAGTTTTTAATGCAAGTGGGAAAATTAGGGAAGGTTTAATAAAGCAATTTTTTTGGAAGTAGATGATTTTAGACTTCATTGTAAAGTTTTATATGTTAGTACTGTCTCAGCAGCATTAATCTCAGTGGATAATTAATACTATTTTATAGGAGTCATTTTTTTTTTTTTTTGTACAGAGCCACAAATTGGTAAAATTATGCTGTTAATGAGAAGCAGCTTGCTTCAGTGCAGTATTTGGCCATTTAGTTAAGTAAATATCACCAAATTATTATTGTGATTAATTTTAAGGGATATATAGAAAGTTCTCCATGGGGAAGTAGAAAAGAATCCTTCCTCTATAAGCTATACGTGTCTTAAAAAGTGATAAAAATGCCAGCAGCAAGGGGCTAGTAACCTCTTCTGTCTCAGTAGGAGACAGCTGGTATGATCAAAAAAGAATTATAGAAAGCTGCATGTTTTATAAACTTTTCAGATCTGTAAAAGGGCTATTGAGACCCCCAGAGGATACATATCCAACAAAACATTCTTCATTATTATCATCAAAGTTCAGAAGGCCCAGGGATGAGGAGGATACAAGGTAAATCTTTTCAAATTTATTAATATTGTTGGCTGCAAGCATACTTTTGTCAATAGCATAAATTTAATATGAACATTCAAAGTTATTACATATTTAAATTTTGTTAATGAATTCTTAAAATACATTTGCAAATAAAAAAATACCTGGCATTGTGCACAGTCAGGCTAATTACTAAATTTTTCCCAATTTAAGGACAGTGTGACTGAGTGTGTCTGGTGGGTATGATTAAGAACGTGTGAGCTGCTTTGTGAGCTGGATTTTATTGTTGGATTTCTTAACTTGCAGATCTACTAGTAATTTGAATGTCAAGAAATTGTCTAGCAGTAACCGTGGTTGGCAGAAAAAGGAATACAAACAGCAATTAAAAGAACGTGAAATACAGTCACGACAAAGGTCATCATCATCATCATCGTCAGCTGAATCGAGTGATTCAGAAAAAGTAATTTTGACTCGATTTTTTTCACTTAGTATCAATTTGCAAATAGATTATTAATGTATTCATATAGTGCTCTCACTCTTCTTATTTCAGCCTTTGCATTAATTAGTAATGTATAAAAAATAAATAGAATGAATAAAACTTTTAACATGTAACATTTTTTCTTACTGAGTACAGCAACCTGCAGGGGCCAGTAATAAATCTTCAGAAAAGGAACTTCCACTAAATGTTCCTCAAGTGACACCTGAGCCACCAACACTGCCCCAGCCACCTACCCAGCTAACAGATAAAGAAATGAATGAGCTGGCTGCAAAGATCATGAAAGCTGAACTGACTGGAAATGATGTGAGTTGTTTTTGTATAGTTAAAAAAAGGGAGAATTGTACAGTTCAGTGATTATTTAAATTATATTTAAGGCTACCCAGGTGAAACAGTGAGGCATGCAACACTTCTGTAGAGACAACAAAGGATATATAGTATGTGAAACAGGGTGTCTCACTTCCGATTGTGCTAACCAAAGGAACTTTGATACCTCAAGAAATCTGTAGATTTCAGAGACATGCTGCATAAAGATTTCATTTCTACTACATATTGGCTCTTAACCCTTTGAGGGTCCGTCCCGTAGATCTACGGCTTTACGTTCAGGGTCCAAACCGTAGATCTACGGCATGAGCTCAGCTCACTCTGATAAACTGTGAGTGGTACATTTGGGCCTAGATATGAGAGAATACATCTATGTGGTATGTGTGCACCACATAAAACAGATCCTGCAGCACGCTGTGTATAATGAGAGAAAAAAATTGAAATCATGATTTTTCGATTAAAACAGCGACTTTGCAGTGTTTTTTCGTATGTTTTTTATAGCTCTATTTGCGATTTCTTGGTCTCATGTGATAGAATGGAAGTCATATTACAGAAATAGAGATGATTTTGATTGGTTTTAGCACTGGAAATGGCTTGAAACTGAGCTCAAAGTAGCAGAAATGTTAAATTTTTGCAGATATTCAAGAGTAAACAAACGACCTCACACGTCTAATACATGCCAGCTGGTGGATCTAATATGCATTCACAAATATGTTGATGATATTTATACAATTATTACAGTATTGCATAACAGTAAATCTTCTATTTTTTGGTGTGAATAAAAATTCATTATGTGAATAAAAATTCAAAATGGAATTTATTTGTAAAGCCTCAAAACGTAACTAATGAACAGAGGAAATGTTAGTTTAGTTCCAGGAATACCTACATTGTTTATTCTGGACCCTATTTTGAAATTGGAATATTTTGAACTTTGTGTTAAATTGGCCAAATTAACAATTTCAGATCACTTTAATTTGTAGTTGAAAAAGTTGACTTGGCAATTTCTTGTGCTCAATCGATAGAATAGAAGTAATACTAGTGAAATAGCTAAGAATTTGGTTGACTGGAATAATGTAATTGGCCTAAAATGGGAGTCAAAGTTGGCAAAATCGCCGATTCGTAAATATCGCTGACACATCAAAATTCGCGAGAGCATAATTTCGTCAATTTTCCATCAAATTTCGTACTTTTTGTTTTATTACCTTCACAAAAAGATTCTCTACCATTTCATAAGAAAAAATAAAATTTTTTTTTTTTTTAAAACTCTTGGACACTGGGGCACCACTTCAGATTTGGGCCTTGGACCCTGAAGGGGTTAAGTTTTATGCACAAATTATGAGCTGTTCCTTCATAATTGGATTGTCTTCCCATGGTCATGTACCAAGCTCCTGCATGACATGATCTGACCAAATTATAGGCAGTTACTGAAGTTTGAATGATCATTCAATATTCCAAAGACAAATTATGTGATAAAAATTACTTTTTAAATAAAATTCTTAAAATTTTCATGATCCTTTAAGTTTAACTAATAAAACAAATACTTTCTAGCCTATAGAAATTAAAATTGGACTGTTCAGTGATAAAGCAGTTTTCTGAACATTAAGGAATTTTGTTTTTGCACAAGGGAAAATTGGGTATACAAAATTTTTTACTTTTACTGAAAGGTGGGAGCATGTGTGCTCTTAACTGGTTATCATATGGACATTGTATGCCACTCTTGTAAGGCTGCCAGTTGTTACATGGAAATGAAGATCTGTATTTTAAGTGCCTACAGTAAGATACTGATGTTTTTATTTTTTTTTTTTTATTATCACACCGGCCGATTCCCACCAAGGCAGGGTGGCCCGAAAAAGAAAAACTTTCACCATCATTCACTCCATCACTGTCTTGCCAGAAGGGTGCTTACACTACAGTTTTTAAACTGTATTTATTTAGCATTTGCTGTTGTAATGTATATTATGCTGTTAGGATGCAACATTATAATACATTAAACATGAACAGGCAGTTTATAGTTACAATGGTTTAATCTTTTATATTTTTGAAAACCTTAATAAGATACATTATAAAATTTTATGCATACAGCATGTACGTTATAGTTATGGTATATTGACATATCTAATGCGGTACTGATATAATAATGTTTTAAATCAGATATGATATTTAACCCCCTCATTATTACCACTCCCAAAATTAAAACTTTTTCTTCTTTCTTTCAACAAACCAGCCGTATCCCACCGAGGCAGGTTGGCCCAAAAAGAAAAACGAAAGTTTCTTTTTTTAACTTTAGTAATGTATACAGGAGAAGGGGTTACTAGCCTCTTGCTTCTGACATTTTAGTCGCCTCTTATGACACGCATAGCTTGTGGAGGAAGAATTCTGTTCCACTTCCCCATGGAGAAATTAAAACTCAGGATTTTTAAAAATTATCTTCTGAAATAACAGAGAAATTTTATTAAAAAATTTCAGAATTATGCAGGTGAAAAGTTGGTGGTCTGGGCATTGGTGATTTTGCCCATCTTGAGTCCCATTTTAAGCTAATTTCATTGTTCACTTCAGCTCAATTCCTAGCTATTTCAAAAGTATGCTTTCTGTTCTGTTGACTGAGTGCAAGAAGCTCCCCATACAGCTATCAGACCTACCCTATAAAGTGCACACAAGGGAATAGTTTGGCCAATTTTACACAAAATTCAACAAATTCTTTGTTAAAAACAGAGTCCTAAATAAACACTAGACATTCCAGTCACTAAAGTAACCTTTCATATGCATTGATCCTATTCCCAAACTTCTCCTGTATAACACTTGCCCTCCATTTTAATTCCATCATCACACAAAAAAATCAAAGTTTTTACCCTGTTTTTTGGAAAATAAAATATTACCAAGAAGAACTGGTCATAGTTTACACTGTCTCACTAAGTGAAGCAGACCTAATAAAATCCATAACACAGACCAGGGAGGATTGGGGACCCTAACTTGTTCAAGAATATCACCAAAAATTACAGTCGGAGGATAATCTGAATTGTGATGTCAACACACTCATGACAAGATTGATCTGAATGACTGATGGTGAATGTGTAAAAAAAAAATTTGGGTCACCTTTCATTAGTTGGAGATGACTGTTGAGGTAAATATTCTTCTTCTTTCAACATACCAGCTGTATCCCAATGAGGTGGGGTAGCCCAAAAGGAAAAACGAAAGTTTCTCCTTTAAAATTTAGTACAGGTCTCCCTCAACATTCACGTTTTCAGCTTTCGCGGGCTTCACACATTCGCGAATTCCCAACCTCCAAATTCCCAGCCACCAAATTCCCAGCTGCCAAATCATATTCAAGTTTCCTGCCACCTGCGAGTCCCTACTACCCTCCCACCGACCCCCGCAACTGGCAGCCAGAACTCCCACCACTCAGTGTGGTGAGTGTTTTGTTTGCTCATTATTTGCTATTAAACTACAGTATAAATAATGTAAACCCATTTATGACTGCATATTGGAATGGCTATTCGGACAGGTATTAGACGGTGACGTCATGTGTTTACTCTTGAACACAGCAAAGAATCAAACATTTCTGCTACTGCTAATAATAACAATAGTAATAATAATAATAATAATAAAAATAATTATTATTTATTATTTTTTATTATCACACTGGCCGATTCCCACCAAGGCAGGGTGGCCCGAAAAAGAAAAACTTTCACCATCATTCACTCCATCACTGTCTTGCCAGAAGGGTGCTTTACACTACAGTTTTTAAACTGCAACATTAACACCCCTCCTTCAGAGTGCAGGCACTGTACTTCCCATCTCCAGGACTCAAGTCCGGCCTGCCGGTTTCCCTGAATCCCTTCATAAATGTTACTTTGCTCACACTAATAATAATAAATAACGATAATTAATAAATACGATATAATTGAAGAAGGAAGTTGTACAAAAATACGAGGGAGTGGTTGACACATCGTCAGTGTGGCTTTGTTTATGCTGGAGTGAGCATTAGTCTCCGTGCTCTTCCAAACATTTCACAATAATTCATTGTGTTTGGTGCTTGTAGATTGAGTGCGACTGGAGTGGTAGAGGCAGTGGTTGAGGCAGCGATTGAGGCAGCTGTTGAGGCAGTGATTGAGGCAGTGGTTGAGGCAGCGATTGAGGCAGTGGGTGAGGCAGCTGTTGAGGCTGCTGTTGAGGCAGTGGTTGAGGCAGCTGTTGAGGCAGTGATTGAGGCAGTGGTTGAGGCAGCTGTTGAGGCAGCGATTGAGGCAGTGGGTGAGGCAGCAGTTGAGGCAGCTGTTGAGGCAGCAATTGAGACAGTGGTTGAGGCAGCGGTTGAGGCAGTGGTATTTAATAACATACATGTTATTAATAATAATAATACATGTTATTAATGATAATAATACATGTTATTAATAATATGTACTATTATTATTTGTAACATATATGTTATTAAATGCCACTGCCTCAACTGCTGAATTATTGTGAAATGTTTGGAAGAGCAGGGAGACTAATGTTCCCTCCAGCATAAACAAAGCCACACTGACGATGTGTCAACCACTCCCTCATATTTTTGTACAATTTCCTTCTTCAGTTATATCATATTATTATTATTATTATTATTATTATTATTATTATTATTATTATTATTATTATTATTATTATTATTATTATTATTATTACTATTGTTATTATTAGCAGTAGCAGAAATGTTTGATTCTTTGCTGTGTTCAAGAGTAAACACATGATGTCATCGTCTAATACCCGTCCGAATAGCCATTCCAATATGCAGTCATGAATGGGTTCACATTATTTATACTGTAGTTTAATAGCAAATAATGAACAAACAAAACACTCACCACACAGTGGTGGGAGGGCTGGCTGCCAGTTGTGGGGGTTTACCTGGAGTTTACCTGGAGAGAGTTCCGGGGGTCAACGCCCCCACGGCCCGGTCTGTGACCAGGCCTCCTGGTGGATCAGAGCCTGATCAACCAGGCTGTTGCTGC